CTTCAATTTATTCTCAACTAGTCACATTCTTTTTTGTGGTTGTCAGTAGACTTTAATTTGCTTCAACTTAGTCACTATGATTTAAATTTTGTTCTACAATGGTCATTTTCCATTTGTACTACTCTCCATTTTAAAATTAACGTTAAACTAGCGGTTACATATCATCCCATACTAGAGATTACTCATTTGAAAACTTTTTTGGTTGAAGCTAATTTAAGCAGACAAATTTTGAGCTCCAAGGAAACTAACATGGTGACCAACACGAGATAAATTTTATAATTGGTGACTAATGTGAAACAAACTAAAGTTTGTCGGTTAATTGTGCAGTGAAATGGTTGGTTGTAATTAACAAAGTGAATGATAAAGTTTAATTTGAAGGAGCATAATTAAACTTAACATGAAATATAAAATGAAAAAACAAGGAATGAGAGACAAAAGAAAAATTCGAGGCAAGTGATCAAACATTTTCTCCTTAAAAACAAAATTGCCCCACAACGGTGTTAACTGATTATGACACTTGTCTCCCAAAACACAAAGGATACATCTTGTGGTAAAAACACTTCAAATTACAAGCAACAGAGAACTCAAACAATTCTTCTTCTCTACAAGAAATAATTTTTAGAATGAATTCTAGAGAGGTTTTACAAGAGATTTTGATGCAAACTCAATGCAAAAATGATATAAGATACATAATGGACGTCCAAATGGTTTTATTTATAAAAGAAGAAAGATTGTGAGTGCCCTAAAACTCAGCAATCTTTACAAATAGAAGCATCATTTTCTATCGCTAGCCTGTCATTGGCCTCTCGCTCGAGCGCCAGTGACACATTTTCAACGAAAAATTTTCGCTCCCTGCCACTAGCCTGTTGCTCGATCAAATTTTTCGCCGCTAGCTAGGCATTAGACTGCCACTCCAGCGGCAGTGTTACCCTTTTTCTTCCTTGTTTTTCTTTCAATTTTGGACCGTAATTTCTCATTTATCCCGAATTAGTTTTGAGATTTCAAATATACTACAACGATCTACTCAATGAGTAGAACAAGTTAGTTTATTTATTTTTATAATTTGACTATTGGATCAAATTCGAATATTTGGCCAAAGTCAACACAAAGTCACTTTTCAAGATTTATACTTAACCAAATGTTCAATCTTTAAACCAAATTCCAACAATCCTCCATATGAATGAAAATTCAAACATATTCATGCAATGCGAAAATATGATACATCATAAAGAGAGAGAGAGAGAGAGAGAGAGAGAGAGAGAGAGAGTAGAAAAACACTGTATCATGTAAGGTAGCTTTCGACTTTGAACATTCCTTAGTAAATATAATCAAATTTACTTGTCTAATTGGTGAATGTGATGTCTTGAACTATTTAACCGTTGGTGTAAACTAAGTCAACAATACTTTAATAAATGTTTTCCCTAAATCGTTCATTGTTCTCATGACTTGGTTCATTTTGGCCCTAAACCACTTTTGGGTTTCATAATTGTTTAGAAAATTTCAGGTGTGAACAATTTCGTTGAAGCAGCCTCACCTCACACTTACATAAGTGACCTCCCATTAAAAGTATTATGCCCTACTCCATTTGACTTAATTAAGATATAAGAATTATTAAAGCATATCTTAACATTTCAGATTTTGTAGAAAGCACTTTAATTATCATATGAATGAGTTAAGAAATATTTTTCCAAACGCTTCATTGTATCTTCATAACTTAGTTATCCCCTTAAAGAAAGATTTTGGGATCTCCAGTCAACAATGTAGGATTAACACTACAAAGATTCTTACGCAGTAGGCTTTAATCTCATTCCTTTCGATATACAACATATTTGACCTCTTGGTAAACCTCTCGTAAGAGAATTCACAATGTTTTTCTTTGATTTCACATAATTTATGGAGATGATACCATTATAGATCTGTTGCTTAATAGTATTGTGTCTACGACGTATATGTCTAGACTTACCATTATACATGCTCTTTTAAGCCCTTCCAATAACCGATTGACTATCACAATGTGTACCTATTGCAGGTACTGGCTTAGGCCAACATGAATTATCTTTCAAGAAGTTACGAAGTCAATCTGCTTCTTCTCCAGTTTTGTCTAGAAAAATAAACTCCAATTTCATCGTTGATCGAATTATACACGTTTGCTTTGTCGATATTCGTGACACAACAGCTCCACCAATAGTAAATATATAATCACTAGTAGACTTGGAATCCTTCATATTGGATATCCGATTTGTTTCACAATATCCTTTCAATATCTCTTGATTTTTTATGAAGTGTAATCCATAGGTTAAAGTATATTTTAAATACCTAAGAACCCTTGTCAGAGCCTTCCATGATCATGACTTGGATTACTTGTGAACCTACTAAATTTATTCATAGCAAATGATATGTCCGATTGAGTGCAATTTGTAATATACATTAGACTGCTTATAACCGTGAATACTTTAATTGTAACACACATTCACTTGTATTTTTGACTAAGTGTAAACTTGTGTTAATAGGGGGTTTTTGCAATACTTTTTTCAAGTACATTATACATTTTCAAGTACACTCTCATTGTAGTGAGATTGAAAAAGTATAATTTCTCTTAGTTCCTAATAAGTAACATCACATTAGCCACACCCAAGTCTTTCATATTAAAATGTTTCGTTAATATTCTCTTGGTGTTTAGTATTATTTTGTGACTATTACCAATTATCAACATATCGTCTACATATAGACATACAATCACATGGCTTTAGGTGTATTTTTTTTTATGTATACACACTCACCACGCTCTTTTATCTTAAATCCATTATACAATATTATTTTGTCAAACTTTTGGTGTTATTGTTTAGGAATTTGTTTCAATCCATACACAGACTCAACAAGTTTACAAATATTTGTTTGTGATTAGGAGAGATCTAACTCACTATTTACGAATGCCTTTTTTACATCCATATAATGATTCTCAAGGTTATATAATGCAGCAATTGCAATTAACAACCACATCGAAGAGATTCTAATCACGAGTGAGTAGGTATCAAAGAAGTCAAGTAATTCATTTTGTCTATATCCCTTGGCAACCAAACTTGCCTCATATTTGTCAATGGACAAATCTCATTTTAGTTTCTTTTTGAAAATTCATTTACACTCTAAATGCTTATTTATGGGAGGCAAATCAACCAACTCCCAAGTATGGTTTTGCATTATAAAATTTATCTCATTATTGATAGCTTCTTTCCAATGTGGTGCTTCCAGTGTAGACATTGTTTTATCGAAAGTCTTTAGATCATTTTCTACCATATATGTTAGAAAATTTGGGTCAAACGAAGTAGATGTTCTAGCTCTTTTACTACGAGTTGATTCTTTCTCATTTGAAGTACATTTGTAGTCTCATAAGTTCTTTTATTTGAACTTGCATTTTCCTTGTCTTTACTTGGAAGAACATTCTCAAAGAATATTGCACTCTTGATTCAATTACGGTTTCTTCATGCATATTTTGAATTTCAGATTTATGTACAAGAAAACGATAAGCACTACTATTATTGGTGTATTCAATAAATATATAATCAATCGTCTTAGAATCGATTAGCACCTTAATAATGCTATTTTTCGAAAGAATAGCTTATCCCATAAGTTTTGGGGTAGACCCGAACTTATCAACAATGCATTCAACATCTTTATAAGAGTTCGATTTTTGCGTTCGATAACACCATTCGATTGAGGTAAGTAAGGTGTCGTTTGATAAATGATTCCATGCTCGGAACAATATTTTTCAAATGGTGCCCCATATTCTCTACCTCTATAACTACGAATATTCTTTATTCGTTTACCAAGTTGGTTTTCAACTTCCGTCTTATGATGTTTGAATACATGGCCTCGACTTTACTTCGTAATAGAAAGACATAACAATACTTTATGCAATCATCAATGAAAGTTATAAAGTATTTTTACCATATTTAGTTTGAACAAATTTCAAATCACATATATCGCTATGTATTAGTTCTAAAGGTGGCGTGTTCCTTTGAACCGTTGAAAATATGTTTTGGCCAACTTTGCTTCAACATATATTTCACATTTATGATTATAATCAATTTTAAGCGTTGAAATTAAACTTTGATTCATAAGTTTAAGCATTGATTTGTAATTAACGTGTCTATGCCATAAACAAGATAACTCAAGCATATAAACATAATTGCAATTTGTATTCATAATTTTTTTTTGGTACAATTGTAAAGACATTCATTTTGAACATTCCTTCACTAAAATAACCCTTACCAACATACCTATCATTTTTGGTAAGTACGAACTTGTCCGAAGCAAATACAAGTTTAAAGTATCTCTTGCTAAGTAGAGACCCGAACTAGGTTCTTGCGAATGTCCAACATAAGTAGGACATTATAGATGACTAGTTCTTCCCCGAAAATCATTTTCAATGTGATCTTTCCAAATCCTTCAACCTTCGAACTTGCAAAGTGCCCCATGAACAATTGTTCTCCTTTAAATTCATGATAGTTTGAGAACATGGTCTTGTCTGCACAAATATGGTAGGTAGCACTAGTTTCGACCCATCAATCCCTTGGACCAACCGTGTTGCATTCAAAAACAACTACAGACAAACTCATTTCTTGAACTCCTTCAGATATGATATCTCTTTCAACCACATTTGCTTGTACAGTCTTTTTCGGATTTCGACATTCGTTTGAACGATGT